TCCAAAAACTCTAGTTTCGAATGTTTGTTTTTCAGGAAGAAAACTAAAGTTTCACCTGGCAAGCAGAAAACAATGGTTTTCGTGCGTAGAAACTTTAGTTTCCACTAGTTTGAAAAACTCAAGTTTTCTCACCTGGAAACAAACTTTAGTTTCCACTGTTTTCAGAAACTTTTGTTTCTAACTCGGAAACAAACTTACTTTTCATGAGTTTGTCCACTGACGGTTTATTCGAAAAAAACAAAGGTTCTCCGAAGCTCGGGGTTTGTTTTTTCGAGTTTAGAACCATGCTGGCAAAGTTTAGTTCAGAGTTTGAGGGTTGAAACAAAGGTTTCGTCCAATCCTTCGTTTTCAAAAGAAACTCTAGATAATAACATTTGTTTGTCGCCATAAAAACTTTAGTTTTCTGTCTGCTGTCTGTCTTTTGAATTATTCGGCTTTACCTTGGCTTCGAAAATGATTGTTTTTGCAGCTGGAAACTAACTTTTTACTCCTGCGGAAAAAGTTTGTTTCTCGGCTTGAAACAAACCTGTGGAAGGAGAAACTTGAGTTTCTTCCCTATAAACTAACTAGTGCTTCAGTCCCTTCTGTTCCGGTGAGATTCACTGCAGCGGTGCACGCTGCTTTTCCCCTTACCAGCAGCTCACACGCTCACGACGATGAGCTGGGCTGTCACCGCTTGGCCGCCGGTGGGGGTTTGGGAGGCCTGCGCGCTACTTCGTTCATCTCCTCTGACAGGTCACTGCTTCGAGACACTTCTTGCGTGGCTGCCTCAGCACTTTTCTGTCTTCATTCCGGCTCGTCTTTTTCAGTGAGATTGCGAAGAGTAGTAAGGCCGCCGATCGAATCCGCAGACCAACTGCCTGATGCTAGTCAAAGTCAAAGCTCCCGTGTGGCAAAAAGCCGAAGCGCGCGTGTCCTTGCCACTGGACTTACAGGCCACGTTCACAAGTGGAGCGTAGAGTCGTAAACATTCAATACATTGATCGTGTGCTACTAGGGGCTCCTGGCCGTACTACTGACAACAAGAAGCTACTAGTAACAAGGACGCTACTAGGGGCTCCTGGCCTTACTACTAGTAACAAGAAGCTACTACCAGGGAACCTACGTTTCGTTTAGTTTCGTATTTCGTTTCGCGTTTCGTTTCGTTTCGCGTTTCGTTTCGTTTCGTTTCGCCGAATCAACTCCACTCGGTGCGAATACATGTCATGGAGTCTGCAGGAGACCCCCGTTTGACCCCCTGGAAGGACAATAGACCACGACCCATTGGTGGAGGGTTTCCATGAATAACACAACTACACACCTATGTCGATTACCTAGATCCTGGCAGGACGCTACTAGGTGCTCTTGCCCTTAAGCTACTAGCAGGGAACCTACGTAACACTTCACACCGCACACTTGACAGATGACTCGCACTCTGACTTCCTACGTGATGAAAAATGCTTTCGGGCCACTCGTCGTCTAGTTTTCAGTGGAATTGGATGAGCACTTGGCTTGGATGGTGTATCTTGGCGGATCTTCGCAAGATCTTTCATGAAAACACACGCTGAGAAGGCATGTACCACCTGTTGCAAAAATTAAGCTGGAAACTGGAAACCAACTCCAACTCAAATGTCTGATCTGCATACTGCTCTACCGAGGGCAGAATTGCTTGGCATGAGAACAGTAGATTGGGTTCTGATTTACAATAAGTACAGTAGGATGGGAGTCGTTTGATGAGCCCAGGAGGAGCATAACGTCTTGTTGTGCGTCTCTTGTTTATTTCTTTTCATTACAACCAATTATACATGCAAGCCCTCAGGGTCCTCAGCTTGACTGTGAAATCCAGACAAAGGCGATGAATCATCATGAATCAAAGTTGAAGACATTCCTGTCTTGAAGCAACTAGAATTCCTAGGATGCCAAAATCGAAGCCTTCCATAAGGGTTCACCACTGTATGCCACAAGAACCTCATCCGGACAGTCTGTTCATCTCGCAAAGAACAAACGACAGGCGCACCCATAGCTTTGGTCCCCAGACCTCGAGGAAGGAGCGGCCAAACATGGCCAGACCCAATGGTCCATGGGGGGCCAACAAGTGTTTCTACACGGGTTGCTCAGGCTTTTGCTTAGGCTTTTGGGTTGACATTGGATCAAAGAATTCTTCAAAAAAATATCAATGTGTCTGGAGGGTGGAAACATGTGGAAAGCTGCTGTGCTTGCTTGATGGCTTGATGGTCTCTGGTACCCTTTGTGTCTTGCAAACTGCGTCATGCAACCTCTACTTGCGAGGCCATGGCGTGGTTATATACCTAGTTTCTTCATCAACATGTGGATGTAGGAGCAATTCCATGGAAAAGTGAAACTGCCTCGCTGGTCGGGGGTTGTCAATCTGAGCATGGTTTTCTTTACGAATCAGGGTCCCCAACCTAATTATGGTGAAGAAAGATCAGTGATTCTAAGTCCATACCCAAAGTAAAAGGAAACAACCAAGACTTGCGGTCCTCTGCCATAGCCACACGCAACGAGTGTCGATTCATGTCTTCGAAGAACCCAGCCAGTGCACAAATGTCAACAAACTAAACCGTGACGGCCAAACAGGACAACTCAGCCCCCGACGATAAAAACAAAAGCAGAGTGGATGCCTCAGCGTCAAGTCGAGGCTCCACTGATTCTTAGATTCTCCAAGGACATCTCTGCCACAAGCAATACAAAGCACCAAGCAAGTCAACAAACTCTCGCGTAATTCACGTGAAACCTTCCCAAATGTACATTGCCAGGGTGCCGAAAATGATCATGAGCACTATGACAATGAAGCCCATGCCTGGCAGGGCTCCACAAAGAAAGGAACACTTCCAAACTTTCAAGACATGGTGGCATTGTCTGATTCTATCTCCTCTCCCAAATTGGGACTGCGTCCGAGCCATACCAGTCCCTTCACAAATGAACCACGCACAATGCCATACCCGCATTGTCTACTTCGCGCCCTTCGCGTCTGACGCATCAACCCACCATAGATGCGCTGCTGCGTAAAGGGTCTGGTCCGCTGCATGACCTCGTCGCGGAAGGCAATGACAATGCCCCGAATGGGAGTCCAAGTGGACTGGGACCTCCCCAATAGTGGATCTGAGACTGCGATACATAAAGGGCGGACCTTGGGCTTCGAATCCAACTCCTTTCATGCGTTTTTTGCGTGCCTATCGCAGCGGTACCTTTGCACACATCTTGACCTACACCTACACAGTTCACAGCTCTGTCGAGCATAATCGATACTATAATCAATTACATATATGATCATATCATATATGTACACTCACAGGGCGTAAAAGCTAAGATGCCCTAGAGTCCTCCCCCAAAGCTGCCTTGCCACTGTGGCAGGTCCGCAATTTAACCTGATGTTGGCACCAAGGGCCCCCAAACTAGATCCCAGCTGCACGGTTACCTGGCTAAGATGTAAGCTCGGGATGCTTGGGGAGAATCACCCCGACACACACTTGAGATATTGTGTACGGAACTGAATGCGGTGCCACACGCCGGCCTAGGGTTCCATTTCCTAAGAAAACGAATAAGAACCACAGGTGCCTCGGGGTCCTCAAACGGAGAAGGGGCCAAACTCGTAAGGCGAAACCGATCCGACAGAGTGACGGCGTTCCGTGCATGACTGCGGCAACATGAAGTACCAAGTCAATGAGGTTCTTGGCTTAGCCTCCTGCCATGCAGAAAGGAAGGAAAATCGCAGGTACGTCCAGCTGGCCAAGCTGGATATCCCACCAGATTGCATAGCTTTGTTAGACACGGTCTGCAATCTGGTGCCGTGTCCCCCTGCAGTAAAACAAATGCAAAAGCATCCCTATGACTGCAAGGGTGACACACACACACACTTATTGACACACTCTTAGGAAATGCGTACGGAACTGAGTGCCACATGCCACACGCCCACCTAGGTATGAACGCCGAAGAGTTCCACGGAAAAGTAATTTCGGCTGGTCATCTTGTTCTAGCTACAAACGGGACCACTTGGGAAGTTCTCAAGTAAAACGCAGGTACGCTGGGATGAGCGCCAATATCATCAGGAAAGCGAGAGTTTCTTCATTGGTGGCAGACTCTCGTTCCTGCTGCCACCCCCAATTTAAAAGGAAAAGCGCAATCAAAGGATTCCCTGTGACTCCAAGGGTTTCACACACACACACCAGATACATGTCAAAGAAAGGCACAAGGATGGTGCTGAAGGGTTTATGGGGGAAATCTTCCTGAAGAGTAGACCATCGCTAGTAGGAGCACTCCACCCGTTGTGCTGTTTCTCGCAATCCTGAGCTCTCCTGCGCCGGATCTTCACCGGCGCTCCACAGAGCGAACCAGCTGATGAAGACCCCCCCACGGCCCAATGTCTAGAGCCTGCCGAGGAGGTGAGGCACTCGTGGTCCAGTTTTCAACCCCCACCCTGAGTGCTAAAGTTCATGAGAACAAGTGACACTTGTGAGGTCTGGACTGAGTTGAGGAGGTCGGGAAAGTTCACCAGAAACACAGGAGCAATGAAAAATGCTAAGTTTGGGCCCTATCAAAAGTGACATCCCTGCAGTGACCACCAGCAACAGGATTCCAACTCCACACCTGAACATCTATCTACAGCAACCATAACTATGAAGCAACAATGCGAGCTCTGCTGCGAAAGTGCTTCCTCCGCTTTCAGGCCTCCCAGAGAACGCAGCCCTAGTGTCTCAACTGATTTGAGCCAAAGACAGTGGAATGAGCACTGCCAAAGTCAAAGCTCGGCTGCCAGATCCCTAGCAACAAAGGCTTCACACGTGAGTCCGGCATATAGAAATCTGGTGGCCATTGCTGACTGTTTCGCTGGAGAACTGTATCTCTCTTAAGATCACAAAATTCAGCCATGTCAAACGCCGATCGTGAAAATGACATGAGTCAACTCTTCTCACCCATCCAGGTGATTGGAACCTGCAGAACCCATTCCTCACTTCAAAAGAAAACCAACAAGAGTTCCATCATCTCTTGTTTGCCTTGTGGATCAATCTCTCTTCCATTCTCTTCCTATATTACATTCAACTGACCTGGTCTGCCCTGCCGCTCATCCTCTTTCTCGCCGCAGTTCGCAGCACTTCGCAGCCGTCCTTTGACGGCTCAGCTGATGATGCAGGCCCTGGCGACACCGAGGGTGAAGTACTTGCGATGTCCCGAGCATAACAGTAGCCCTGCTTCCCCATCCACATCATCCACTACAAACAGGCCTGCAACTGCAGGGGACATGTTAGTTTGCAGGTGTATGAGCTCCGCCTAACCTCTGCAAAGGTGCATCCTTTTTCGATGCAAGCACCCACATGCAGCCAACTGAGCTCGGGCTGCTGCTCAAATGGATATATAACATTTCACCGGGACGAAGGAAATCATAAGAAATCCTCGACGTAAAGATCGATCCAATGTTCCAGACATGAAACTCTTTGTCCCAAAGGTTGAACATTGATCGCATCATCTACATCAGTCTACACCCAACACAAAACCAGCTGCAGTGCCGTCAACGTCAACCCGAAGCAGCTCTAGCCCCGCCTTTTGCAGCCCTCCAAACGATTTCGGCGTAGCTCCTCGTCTGTGGGTCCGCACCGAACAGCAGTCTTGGACGAATTGACCAAACAGCAAATGCCTGACTTGACACAAAATTGCACCCGCCTTCGGGAAGTACCCCTGTGACTAGTGATCACCCAGGCAATGAGATGAAATAACTGGGTGCTTTGTACCCTTGAAAGAACTTCAGGTGTTACTTCAGAGAGGGTAAGCATCTTCGCTTTCCTCTCGCTTTTGCCTGCAAAAAAAAGGGATCCTGTTGCATTGGATCGCCACTCCATCACCCGAAAGCCTCCCGGCCAGTAGAGATGGTGAAGGCCACTGGCTCACTTGAGCCCCGAGGCCGGGCCCGCCACTGTTGCAAGCCTCGAAACGCTCAGGGAGTGCCGTGTCCGACTGATTCAGATCGCGGATTGGGCCTCTCAAATTGGGTGAATGTCCCCCCCCCTTCGGCCTGTAGCAGTCGTAGCAGCTCGTGTCTTCAATCTGATGCGTCAAGACCGTAAAAGACTTCTGACTCAATGTCATGGGTCCCGCATGCTAGTGCGACCACCACCCTCCGTTCTTGGCAAGCTTGGCGTCATGCAACTGCTTGGGGTTGAAAAAGCCCTGGCCCTTGAGATCACTTAGAGATTCGTTGGGATACCTGGGGTTCACTTCGGAAATGAAGACCAACCATGCCTCCTTGTCACCGGAGGGACCAGTGTTTCAGCCTGGACCCTGGACCCTGGGACTCCGGCTCATCCGTTCAGCTTCCATCTCTTGCTGAGCCTAATCGGTGGGAGTCAATCCACTTCACTGCGTAAATCCTGAACTGCTCCTCCGAGGAAAGATTGGTTTCAAAAACCTACAGTACATCTATTTACAGTGGTCTAGATAGAAATATTGATTCCTGTGATAGTTGATTATAGTTGTGATGTAATGTAGCTGTAATTGATCGAGCTCCATCCAGTCATGTACCGGCACTGCTGCAAGAACCTTTCTACTACTGCCCTTCGCAAGGAGTGAAAAAAGTTCCGAGGGAGGCTCCAAGGGAGACTCCACGGTATCGAGAAAATGTCACCGGACGGCACGCTACGGCCCTTCGCGCAGCCTTTCGGCTCATCTCCAGCTCCCGCACTGTCTGGCGCCTCGGCAAAAGGAGGCTGGCCAAAAACCGAGAGTAAACCTATATATAGATGTCATAAGTATTCACCGGTGTAGTAAGAGATACTAGAAATGATCTTAAATTGTCAAGTCTAAGTCTCAAAGCCAAGTGTAAGTACAGTAAGTCTGTTGGGTTGGGTGTGGGTTCGCGTGTTGCGAATGACCTTTGGCCGTCTCAGCATTCACCCCCACAAGTTTGCAGGACATGTCAAATTCTGGCAGTGGAAGTGGAAATAGAGCTAGTAGTGGGCGGTCCAAGAAACAATAGTGATCATTCATGATAATCATGCCCTCCCTAGGTGCCCAACTCATTGGCAACTGCGCGTTGCAACTCCGCCTTTCATCCATGACATGGTCACGCAAACCCTGGGAGACTACAAAAAGAAACTTTCAAGCAGCTCGCCTCTCTTGCCTCAGAATTGACTTCATTACTTGATTTTCATGTTGCGGGGGCAAAAACTCCTCGGTGCCATGTTGGCTTTGTCCTCAGTAAGACTTTTTGAAGGTGGGTGGGTCATCTAAAGAAACATACAGGACGATTCCACACGGTAAAGCAGGCGTCTTTTTC